ATGTGGTAGCCGTTTCTCAGGCTCCCACGCTCTAACTCCGAGTGTCTCAGCCAGTCCAGTTTCTTCAAAGCGCCTACGTTCGACTTGACAACCCTCATCTTTTGAAAGCAGTAAAGCCTAGGGGAGACGTGAACCGCTCCGGTCTCACCACTGCCTCGTTACTCTGAAGGCTGGCGAGATTCTGGAGCATCGACAGGGCTTCGAGCAGTGAGGATATGCTTTTGCGGGGATGCTATGGGATGCTGTGGGGACGCTGAAATCCTTCCACGACCAAGAACGAGGTCAGTTTTAAGACTTTGCGATATGTCCGACAAGTACGAGTATTTCATGTGGTTGGGTCTTTGAAGTCCAGACTGTTGGTGCTTTTGGTTCGGAGCGGTGAAATTAAAGATCCTTCTGATCGGAAATGTTTTACCTCTGCAAGTGTAGGTGGTCCTTGTTTCGAGTGAGACATAGACACTCGCAGTGGAAGCATCCATCTGTCCGTGCGCTATGCATGGTTTACCACATCGGCTGGCCAATTGCTCGGCTTGGTTTTAACCCAAGATGCAGTCAGAAGGAACAGCAGTTCGCTTCTGCCGCACAAAGCTTCCAGTGCGAGCGCAGCGGCGATTTCTGAGATGAGGGCATGAGCGGACGCCTCAACCGAGGGAACTCGGTGGTGTAGTTGGCGATTCTCAACCTGCTGTCAGCCAGGACCTCTGCAAAGACCAGCGTGTCATCAGTGTTTGCCTCCGTGAGCTCCACAAGCACGCCGCAAAGCCCGACTCCCAGTCCCAGATGGGTGCTGTCAAGTGTTGCTGCTCAAATCTTTCAGCCATCTGCTAGCCTGGTAGCATTGGCACGCTGAGGGAACGTCTTTCCCTCTTCCTTGGTTTTCTTCCCGAAAACCGACCGAGGTTCGGCTTTTCTGATGCGGAGATGCCCCGCGCCCTGCGCCTGCAGGCCACGCCCTTCTCGTTGGAGGCCCGGAGGGGTCTTCCAGAAGGGAAGGGCTTGGGGGCCTCGCTGGCCTGCGGGACAAGTTGAGGTACCATGCAGCGCTTTGCAGAATTTTGCAGATGGCTTCAAGCTGTAGGGGCATCCGCGTCAGGCGGGTCTCCAGACGCCGACCTTCCAACTGCGGCGCGATCAGCTCCCCGGCTTTCGGCGTTTAGGCGTATAGTGGCTCGCCCTACTGCTTCGGTCTAAGGCCTCCCGGCCAAGCTGCGTACTGTAGGACAGTCTGTGGACGAGCCAACCACCCTTGGCTTCGGATGTCAGGCTGGTAAGGGTCACGGTTGGATGTCGGGCGAACTCGGGGATGTATATCCAAGTTCCACAGGACTCGGGCCAAGGTTCCCCAGCCTGCGTTGTATACCGAGGCTCCTTCCGCGCGTCTCGCATGTCATCGAGGAGCTCTATGTGCCTTCGCGGCATCTTTGAACAGCGAGTCTATGCTCTAGATAGCCGTTGAATGCAGTTGAGAAAGATTTCAGCTCTACCCTGAGAGTATTTATTGACGAGTGGCTACACGCATCAGGACTGCAATCACCATCCGACCATGAGGGTAGCAAACGATTGGGCCCGAGGATAGCTTGGATGGCTCCCCGGAGTCGCAGAAGGCAGAACGGTTGCAGCGAAATGTATTGCAAGCTTTCGGAAGCTCCAGTTGAAGGCTTGTGACTTTAGTTGATACTTCTATGGATAGCAATAGCCCGCCCCTAGAACAAAGCAGGACTTCATCGTCGAGCGCAAGAGGAGGGGCAGCTTCTTCAGCAAGAAGAAGCAGCTTGGCTGGATCTACAAGCCTTGCTGTTTGTCGCTTCAGCCTTCGCTTCCGAAGTCATCCGTGCACAACGGTATACCAAGTTCACTTAACGCGATGCTTATAGATTGGTCACAAGCAGTCCGACGTGTCCTAAGGTCTTTTCCAACGCTGGAGTGGCTTTGAAGGCGCCATCCGGCACGAAGCTGAGTCGGAGAAACCCTGCATAGTCCATGGAGCTCATCTCGCGTGGCTCCGCCAACAGGCAGCGTGTCAACGACTAGGCGGCGGATCCTTGGATGAGTTGCGGTAGTTGACGTCCCTGCTGGGCTTTTGAAGGTTTGATCTCGTGTTAACACGCAGCAGTCTTGCCGGGAGAGCTCCTGCACGCTCTGTGAATTGCTTTATTGGCTGTGCCGTCTGAAGCTGGCATCGGCCCCAAGTTTGTTACGGTCATTCTTCCGACGCTCTCTGAGAGGAGTTACCAGCTTTTTCCGAGCTTCCCGATTCAGTGGTCACCAGTCGGGCACCTGAAGCCCTTCTGTTGGCTGGACACCCATCCGCGCGGAATCAGGGAGACTGGACGTGGTCATTGTCTGCCGCCGACTAATTCTCCAAAGTGGGAAGAATTCATTTGCTGGCATGCTTGCGGCAAAGAGTTTCTTGCATCCTACTCCCTGACCAAGCACTCGCATCAGTTGCGACTTGTTCAGTATGTCATGTGCTTCCGGGATGTCTTTTCAGCTTGCCGTGTTGCCCTCGTTCTTCAGGTTTTCAGCGACCATCAGCCCGCTGTTTATCCTCGTGTGGAAGCTCAGTCGGCGGAAGCTTTGCAGTTTCCTCGCAGTTTCCTCGCAGTTGCTGAGGCTTCAAACTGGCTATGCCTTTCCCGCAGGCGGCTTCGCAGCAAACAGCGCTGCCTCTCCGGCACGACAGGAGCTTCGCCTGACTTGTGGCACACTGTGACAATCAATACGCAGTGGGTATGTCCGCAAGGACGTTCCTTTCTGGCTATCCAGTCCGACGGCCATTCCTAATGCCACAGGTGCCTTGTTTCGGGGTTGGTTTCTGGCTTGATGGTGCTTTTGGCAGAGCATGTGAGAGTTAATTCCGTTGTACCTGAGTAGCACGAGTGGCACGGTGTGCCTGGTGCCACAGCCAGAGAGTGTATGATCAGCGTGCAGAGAACATTGGGCAGGAGGAGATGAATCGGCACAGGGCTTGTCCGGGCAAACCAGGAAAACCAGGGTGCCTAGCCGTCCGAACTAGAATTGTCTTGTGTTTCTTTAAGAAGAGACCAGCCAGGATGCCGAGCACATCCGCATTGAGCGGGCAAAGATCGCACCGCCTGACACCAAGGCATGTCTAAATGCAGCTTTGGAAATACGGCCCATGTTGCGCTGAGTTGTCGGTGGGCTAAGACTGAGATGACGTTGTGAAGCCCCTTTCTGGCTCGAGCATGTCCCTAGAACATTGTACAGTTACATGAGCAGCAACATGCATGCTCCGGCACGAAACAGATGCATGCAGAAGGATCCTTCGATACTTAAAGACAGACTCTTGAGTCACTCTTGAGTTTTCTGAGTTTTCTTGTGATCCAAGAGTACGCGGACGCAATTGCATGTTCGATAACCTGTGCATATCAATTAGCTCAATGAGCCACTGGCTGGGCCAATGGCAGCTTTGGTTGGTATCTTGGCGGAGACGGTCCACCGATTCTGTGATTTGCACAGACCGGGGCTGCACCGTGCGAATCAGCAGTCGGCCAATGGGCTGAGGCTACCTTTGTGCCGCAGTGGCCGTGCTGTTCTTTGGAAGCAATTTCGCAGTCGATGCCTTACCTGGCTTGGTCTTGCATGTTGCACTTTGACAACACACACGGCCTGAACGCTTGTGGAGTGGCATCCAGCCTTGAAGTGTCTGGCAATGGATTGCATTCTCCGTTCCGTTGGAATGCAACCTCCGTCATGGTGGGGCAAACCCAGTGTCTGTGCTCGTTTATGTATGTATAGGTGTATAGGTATGTCGTTTCTCTACATCTATCTGGTACCCCCCCTGGACCAAGCTGTCAATTGAGATCGTTAACGTTACTTTGTATTTTGGACAAATTCTGCTTCCATTTCGCAAAACTTGTTAAAGATGTCTGTCCACAAGCTAATGACTCCGAGAATCGCAAAACTAAACTCAGACAATCTGGTGATGTGGTTTCGAATTCCGAACTTGAAAAACATCCCAAAACTCCAAAGCCTACGAAGCCCAGTCTTGGATTCTGGAAAGCCAAATATTCAGCAGTTGCAAAACTCCAACAATCGGAGGAGAAGTCTTGCACGTTCGGATTTCCGCAATTCCAAAACTTGGTTTCGTGAAGTCCCGAACCGTGGACCTCGGGTGCCCTGCCTTTCTTTCAGTTCTTTCCTTGCAAGGGCGATGCTGAAAGCTGCCCATCGACAGGTGTGATGCTCTTCCTTTGGCTGTTTTCACGCACTGAGCTTGACTTGGACGCAGCTGCCTCCACAATCTTGGCCACGAATTCTGTGTTTTGCGCAGCCACCACAGTTCCCTTCCCCGGCCACTCTGCATGGCTTTGTGTTGCGGCTGCTCCACTTCCGTTGGCCTCCCTGCTTGATTCTGCTGGCCCTGACTTGCCTTGGTTGCGCATTACCTTGGATGGGGCTCAAAAGCTTGTGAAGATCTGCCAGCAGGAACTTGCAGGCCATCAACGCAAACTGTTTCTCTCCCTCCCCTCCCTCCCTCCCTCCCTCCCTAACTTCCCTAACTGACTAACTGACTCTCACTCCGCTCTCTCACTCACTCACTCACTCACTCACTCCTCTCACTCACGATCCCACTCTGTCACTCTCTCTCAACTCTCTCTCTCTCTCTCTCTCGAGCGTACTCAAGTATCCCTATCAGCGCTTTTAAATTTCTTGCTGGAAGTTGGAGTTTTTCGGGAGTTTATTCAGGAACTTACATGTGTTTGAATGCTCGATTGCTGCTTAGGTCGTGCTCCAGCGTTTATCCAACATGAAATGAATTCCAAATCAAACAGAGGCTAGCAGCATCTGCAGAAAAGCTCGTACCTACGAACCATGCCGTCTATGTTTGAATGTCATAGATTAATAGCTGGCGTAGAAGTTCATGTTCGCAAGTTCGTTTGATACTGATGATTTCAGTATTGAGTGGTATGTGTAATGGAAAGTAGACTGTATCAGGACTCGTTTAATAGTTTGGTTGACATTTGATGTTCACAGAAAGCTCATCCAACACTTCATGTTGACATATCTGACATCCAGTTCCTAGGCATTGCACACAGGGACATGGTAAAGCAACTAGTATGTAATGGATGTTCAACTAACCCTCAGTCATATATATATATATATTATATAACAGATATGTGGCAATTCTTCAATCAACACCCAGTTAGACCCAATCAGAAACAATGCAAACATGGATGCTCTTCAACGGTAAATATAATACATACTTCAATGCTATGTTTCGATGCTCACGTGCTTTCTTTGTACAGGTTTGTCGTTATTTGCCAGAGTACTATTGAACGAGTATGTGCTCAGCGTACAATATTTGCATAATTTTCATGTACTTCGCAATTTCCAAGCCTTATATACATGTTCGTTCAATACCTGAGGTGCAGTGCTGAGATGTAACTATGTCTCGTTGCCATGGTAAACGGCAAGGAGAAGATTTCAATTGGCCTTCGCGTTTTCATGTAAGCGCAAAGTTTGATCAACGTTTCGTTGCACAAACTCCAGGTCCACCTGACAGTAAACGATTGTCCAATCATATTCGAGCACTGAAAAGCTAAAGCAATATAGCTTCTTGTCAACCAGCTTAAGGCTAACACTCCACTGAAATTGAACCTTATTATTTCTTTGATGATATTTGGCAAGATGTCTCACTCATGTCTTATGAATGTTTCGAAAGTATATAAAACATGAGACAAGCATTATTGAGGTTATGCATATAACATCTTATGACTCAGTCAGAATCAAATCCTGAGTTTGGAGGTTCGCACTGCTTTTGAAAATGAGTGGGGACTTAACTGCTGCATGAGTTTGGTTTCATATGTAGTACTGCAACGACCAGATGTTCCACTACTACTTGTAGTTGAACATTGAATGTTTATGAATATGTGTTCGCTGGTTAACTGAGCACACTTGTATAGGAGACAAAGCACTATCAAATGTGGAAAAAATATTGATCCAATATTCATTGCATCTGAATCCTGATAGAAGCAATCACACACATGTCGTAACCGCTGTCCGAAAGTTAGAAAGCCGGGGCTGGTAACTCATACAGACGTGCGTCGCATGGGACGAGCAGTACTAATACTGTAGGAGGCCAAACGCTGTGACATATTAAACGAAGCAACACAACAATTGTCGTAATTAGTGTTCGAATTTGAGATAGTTAGTATTCTACTGGTAAATTGTTCATACGTGCGTCACATGATCGATCACGTAAGGACAGCTGTCACTGCACCTATAACTATACGGTCCAGCACGCGTCCGGTTTCCTGAATGGCTTTTAGCCCAAACTTCCAGTGTGTCTTTTTGGTTTATGTCTGCTTATGCACTTCTTGGTTCACTTGTTCAAATGGCCTGTCCGTTCCTATGGTGATGTTGCTTACCGCCTACAGCGACTACGACTCCTGTCCGACCTTGTTCACGGAGTCTTTTCACTGGTGACTGTGCGGACAACCTGCTGTGATTCTCTTTCTCCGCATCATGTGCGCTGCGCTCAATCTGCCCCGTGGTACAGTTGGACACAGCGGCAAGGGACATATTGTTGGATGTTTTTTGTTTACAGGAGTGCTGTTTCTTTGCTTGCCAATCCGAACAATTCTCCCTGCAGGAGAAAGCAGAGGACGAAGAAAGCAGAGACATGCATACATACATATGTATACGTATATGCACATGTATATCTGTATGTGTATGTGTATGTGTATGTGTATGTATATGTATATGTGTATATATATATACATGTATGGTATATGTATATGCATATGTATTTGCACACGTACTTGTATAATATGCACGTGCATATGTATCTGTATCTGTATATGTGCATGTATATCTATATGTATATGTATGTTTGTTTCCTTGGTTTAGTATATACATACACGCACGCATCTATGCGCAAGGTTAGACGGTCCTAAAACATTCGGGCTACCGACGACAGAATCCCAACTTCAAGCTTCCCAAGCCGTTTTCTATGAACAGAAGATGCCCGGTGCCTTCTGTGTGTGTTTCTCCAGGTAGTCGCGAAGTACGATGCTGGTGATGGAATGTTTTTTCAACTAGCGCAGCTTGGCCTCAGACTGTGGTGAAGGAGTCGCTTGGTTTTCTCGGTCAAGTCCTTGCCTTGTGCACGAAGGCTCTGCCTCGGGATATGGTTCACTGGCCTTGTAGTCCTGCTGTTGCGAAGCCATCCGACGTTCTATCCCGTGGCTGCTTGGGACGCATGCAGAAAATGCAAGCAGTAGGAAGCCTGAGAGTGCCAAGATGTTGTATCACCACGATGGATTAGGGACACTCTGCTTCTCCAAGTGAGGCCATGACAGGAGGCGTTCTGTGGTGCTCCGGTAACTGCCTCACTGTGTACATCATCAAGCAGATTGGATTGGGCCCAGGAGCGAAGCGCCAGAAGCCTTGTCTGTTTGTCTGTTTTTTTGTGTAGAGGACTGGTAATGTGGGGCACAGCAGCTCTCATCATCGGCTGGGTCACGGGATTCTTTGGCCTCTTCGGCCTGCCCAGCGAGACCAGACTGCAAGCTGGGTTTTAACCTGGAGTGCAGTCTGTGTGCTCTCAGTCTGCTCTTGACGATTAGTCGTATGCAGTCAGGATTGACTCAGATTTTTGGGCCGAGCAGCTGTGATCATCCCACAGCTGCAGCTCGAAGTTGAACTGCATTGCATTTGCTGTTGCCTACGCGCATCGCAAATTGTCCGTGCGAGCCGGGCTATAAATTGCGTCTCCTGACGGGTTGCAAGAGCCTCTGGAAACAAGGAGCAGAGCTGCCTGGAGAAGCCATGGCTCAATGTTGTTGGTCACAACCTTACGGAGCTCATGCTTCTGCTGCTCTTCCAGAACAATTGTCTACTGCAATAGCTTCGCGATCGGCCAGCTATCAGACTTCTCTCACGATCCCTCTGAGGCGTTGTGCTTGCGATGTGCGCGCTCGCATTGAGCACGCTCGTGAGGCAGGATGACTGCGCTCCTAGCACGAGTTGAACGTGGTCTTTATGGTGCCCGACCTTCTACATGATGGTTCTGCCGATCACTCCGTCGATCATTCACCTAGGGCTTGGACTGAGCACACAGTCTGCAGACTTGTCATCTCTTCTCCAGCCCAGCAAGAACACTCGCAACAAACAGCTGACGACATGTGCAGGAAATGCACTAGACGCACCTGACAGGAAGAGTACCCCGCAAAAGCCGCTGCCAATCGATGCTGGACGGGTGCCACCAACGATCAACGAGGACTGACATTCCTGGCATGGTTCACCTCAAGCCCGATAAGAAAACCGTTGAACAGTGTAGCAGACTGATGAACTGCAACGCTGAGAAACCAGGTTACCGCATATCATGCTGTCGAGCTTTTGCTTGCTGGTGTCTTGCTATCTTTGAACTCTGTTGAATTTAAGGTTGTCTTTTGTTGTCGCATCCCGCAAGATTTTGCCTCGCTCCATTCATCGGGACCGCGCAAGGGACCCTAAACCCAAACCTGAGGTTTTAAACCCCAAACACCGACGCATGCCCATGGAAGAAGAGCCGATACCCTCAACAGATACTCCTGATTTTCGTCCAGGATGTCGAAGAAAGCCCAGCGAGGGCTGCTGCAGGTCGAGCCAAGGCCCAACCTTTGTGTGTAAATACGTATGTATGTACATACGTAAGTATGCATGATAAGATCAGGACATGCTACAAGACTACATTTCAGAGAACGGAGGCTGAACCCAAAATTTTCCAAACATAGTTTCAATGGGCATGCTGGATTTCCCCGACTGAAGGTTGAAGATCTCAAGGAAGGCTTTCCGAGGATTTAGTCTTCGGTCCACGCCACCATTGAAATTCAACAGCCCCATCCAGCCTCAATCAGGTTCTGTCAATGATCATTGCGTATCCCGGGAGAACACTACATACACGCACATCTCATGTCATTCTTTATCTCACGCGTGTTCCAGGATCCCTAATGTTGCACCACAGAGCTTGTAGGTTACATATGGTACAGGGGTCGCTTAGCCAACTTTTTTTCGGGTCGCTTAGCACGCTCCAGTTTTGGTCGCTTGGCACGCTCATTTTCACAGGTGTTGGAAGCCCAACAAAGGTTATCTAGTAGATGCACATGTATTGCATATCGATGATGCTGGCCCCGCAGGCATTTTGCCTCGGAAACCATGGGCTTAGGACTGCATGCGAGGGTCCTGGATTTTTCCCTAGCTACCATCTCGCGAAACCACAGCCCCAAAGACCAGGCTTCCTCATCTTGCTAAGGATCTGCATCACATTCTATGGATCTGAAAGCCACTAGGACGGCAGGGGTTCAGGGTCAGTAAGCCACTATGTCGGCATTGGGTTGTATTATGAGTAAGAGATCTGAAGCCACTAGGACGGCAGGGGTTTAGGGTCAGTAAGCCACTATGTCGGCACTGGGTTGTACTATAGCAAGTATAATCATTTACGAGCCACTATTACGGCACGGGGGTGGTTATTAAGCCAGTATGTCGGCACGGGGTTGTAATATCAGTAGACAAACGTCTCATTAAACATTTAAGAATTTAGAACGATGTCCTCGCATTCCAATGGCTGGCGGCTTCGGCAAACGTCGGAGCGCAAATCTGGGCCCAAAATAGGGGAGCCCATCTGCGGCCCGGCAGCACTGCCTTGGGTTTTTTTTGGGCGCGCACTTGCGATTGGGGTGGATGCAGACTTCTCGGCGAGGCAACGGGGGCTTTTTGGATGGAGGGTTTAGGGTTGACGGTTGAGGGTTCAGGGTTAAGGGTGGGTTGAGGGTTTAGGGTTTAGGGTTTAGGGTTGTGGGTGTAGATTTTTGGCGGCTTCTCCTGCGAGCTGTTTTGCTATTCTGCTTCTGCTGTTCCAGGAATGAAGTACCAGGCAACCTCTACGAGGCTTGAGTCTTTAGTTTAGGGTGTTTGCTTTTCGGCTTTTTGGGTTCAGAACCCTAAACCCTAAACCCTGTTTTGTTTAGTTAGGGTTGTCGGAGGGTTTTGCGAACTGTTTTGGCACTTTGGGACTTTGGGCTGATCGTAGGGCAGGTAGCCTTGGATGCTTTCAGATGTCCGCTCTTTGCTCGAGGAGGTCTCATGGATACTTCGGCACCACCATGCCATCTTTGTCAGGGTTTCCTAGGCCTTAGTTTGTTGGTTTTGTCGTCGGTAGCTTAGGGTTCTGGGTCAGGGGTGGGCCTGGGTGTCGCAAAACTGTTCGAGCTTCGGTGCTGGGGTGAGAAGTTTCGACTCTTGGGCGGGAGGTCTTTTTCGTAGAGCTTGCTAGGTTTTATTCTGTTCAGAGCACTGGCTTAGTGTTGGACTTAGGTCTAGGACATTTTCAGGTGGGTAGTTACCGTTACAGGAGCCTTATAGAAGGTCTATATACCTTATAGAAGCCTTATAGAAGCCTTACCTACCCTAAAGTCCCCAGTTTCCTTTAGGTAGGATGGTGGTAGGGATTTCTGGGCCCTTGGCAAATGCCAGTTTTGTGGTCTTGCACAGGTCATGAGGGCCCTGTAAAGATGTATTTCATGCATCCTTATGCCTTCGCTTGGGAAGGCTCATGAAGCCTTGGATGTTGCAGCTAAGCCCTAGACACTAAACCCTGAAACCCGTAAACCCTCAACCCTACCATCGCCCAGGTGGGCAGAAGTGGAAGTTCTGGCTGCCCTTGCGACAGGAGCTGCTCTTGCTGGCCACGCCAGTGCCTCACCTGCAACTTCCCCTTCGCGAGGCGAGTTGGGATATGGGGGTTTCCGAAAAAGGGGGACCCTAATATATTACCCGAAATTAGGATCCTCAATATAAGGACCCCAAAATAAGGTACCCCCTTGGTTTCGGAAACTCCCATATGGTTTGGGGTTTTGGGGCTCCGGAAGCCTCAACCATGAAACAATGAAGCCGAAGACCCCCTAAGACCTAAGGGCCAAAGCCCCTTAAACCCTCAAAATCGGAAGCTCTTGCGGCTAAACGCTGAACCCCAAACCCTTGAAGATAAAGCCTTCACCCTTGCTGAGGACTTGCGCCTCTACGGCCGCGTCTTCCCAGGAGCTCCTGCAACAGGGTTAGGGTTCGGGTGGTGGGGTTTAGGGTTCAGGCTTAGGGTTTAGGTTGTCAGGTCTGGGATTTACTTGGATTTAGGGAAGAGCCCGAAACTCGAACTTATTGGGAAGGGTGGGGCGTCTGCTACGGCCTCAGGGCGTAGGGTGCTTTGAGTGTTTCGAGCGCCCAGGAGCATTCAAGGGTGTGGGATTCAGTGTAGGCTTCATGTCCCACACCAAATTTTCGCCACGCATCCCCCGAAACCTTCAACCCTCCAGCCAGGACCGCAAAGTCCAGAAACCAAGGGCGAAGCTCCCTCATTGCCTTGATCCCTGCACCCAAACCGAGAATCTTGAGGCCTTCCGTAGCTTCGAAGCTTCGGCCCTGAAGACTGAAACTCCCACTCTACCCCTGCGTATCCCAGCTCCACTCCCCTTCACCTCCGCAGGACCCCAAATCGATCAGCAATGGTTCGATTACTTCATGGTGGCCCTGCCGGACGACACGCCCATTGCCACAGCCGCCTGTTTGAGCAGAGGCGTTTCAGGGAGATTCGCAACCTTAGGGTTGCCAGTTCTAGGCATCCTCAGAGTAGGAACCCTATGCTTGTTCGTGGTTTCTGTGAGAGCCCATGCTGGAATTGCTATATGACTGTATCTGGGCTTGTTGGTCCAGATTTACATGTTTCGACCCGGGAAATGCAATGTTGCAAGTCGTTGAGGTGAGAGTTCTTCCCCTTCCCCCTGCGTTTGTTTTCGTTTTGGGCGGCACGAGAACCTTGACAAAGGTTTCCACAGTATAAGCAATCGAGACAACAACGTCTGCAGCAACAGGAACGGTAGGAGTATTGGTATTATTGTTAAGCTAAGCGTACCATAAATACTTGTATGCCAGAAGGCTCAATAGCTCTACAAGCAGCTCATGTGCTACTTGCCACGCAGGAACTCCAACACCTCCGAAAACTTTCACCCGCGTCCCGCTCCAAACTCCATTCCCAAAATCCCTCAGCCCCTGAGGCTGCAAAATCCGACTGAGCCAAGCCTGTTTAAAATATTCAGGGCGTAGAAGACCCTAAGCAACATTAAAAAGTCACCCTGCACCGGACACCTAAACTTTACGCCCCAAGCCCTAAACCCCAACAGCCAACTGCCCTAACACCCTAAACCCTAAACCCCAAACCCTACAAAACCCGAAACCTTGCACTTCAGAAGCCCCAGGTCCGGGTGAAGCCGCACTCCAACCGAACTCTTGCCGCCTCCCGGCGATGTGGCTCCAAGCGCTTTGAGATGCTGGACATCTTCCTCGGAGCTTTGCTAGATTTGGAGAAGTGTGGTGTTTCAGGTTGGCGTTATAGTACCGTTATAGTTTGGGATTTGGGGTTTTGGGGTGTATATTTCCTACGACTGGGGTGTAATGGTCGTCCAGCTCGAGTTTCAGGGTGTAAGGTGGAGCTCGGGGCTTACCGGAGTACACTTAGCTATCTACCGAGAATATGAGACTCCGAACGTCTCTCTTAAAGGCAGCGCTGGTGCTCCCGTGTACTGCGTCTTTCTGGAAAGACCGGAAGCTTCGAAGTTTGCTAGTGCAACCTACCCTAAATCTCATACCCCTAGACCCAAAGCCCTAAAAACCACTCACCTCTGACTTTCCTGGTGTTTTGATGACTTTTGCTTTTGGGGACAGCCACGCCCGTGGCACCCGGCAGGGGGGGTCCGCAAGCGAAAGCCTTGAACCTCAATACCTGAACCCTAAACCCTAAACCCTAAACCCTCGATACCTGAAGCCGCAAAGCAGCACAGGGGCCTCTGTTCACAAAAGGCATCAAACTGTCGAGTTTTGTGACAGCACAAGCCCAACCCCCAGCCTTGCAGCTCTCTACGATATCCTTTAGGGGTTTGGGTTTAGGGTTTAGGGTTTAGGGGGAAGCACAGCATAGGCCGTTGTAGTCGGTTAACATCGCGCGGCACAGCTCGAATCCCCGACTCTTGAACGAGCCTCAAGAAAAATGTTTCGAGGAAGTGGCGGCAGGCCGCTCAAGGCCATCGAGTCTGAAGGTGTTAGGCTTCAGGGCTGAGGTTTAGGGTTTAGGGTTTAGGGCTTAGGCTTCAGGGTTGAGGTTTGGGTCTTCCTTAGTTTTTCAGGGCCGAGGGTCTGGATCCAAGGGTTCAGGGTTTTGCAGTGACGGCTGCGAGATTCGATGTTTGGAAGTGTACTTGCTCGCATCAACATTTGTGTCACGGAGGCACGGGTCTTAAGTGGGATCCCTACACCCAAACCTTAAACCCTCAACCCTAAACCCTAAACCCTCAACCCTAAACCCTAAACCCGGCTCTGGCAGCTGGTCGAGGTTCAGGCTTCTCTTCGCCCTAACGTCCAAGCCCCCAGCCCAAAAAACCTTCATCACTCCATGGAGCGTGAAGGTGGCAAACACCGTCAAAGGAAACAGGAGGGGGGTTTAGGGTTTAGGGTTTAGGAACTTCGTCAAAGGAAACACCAGGGGTCCTGGAGCCCTTTGGAATTTTAGACTCGGCGCAGGGCGTGTTGCTTCAGACGCTGAACCTAAACCCGAAACCCTGTACAGGTTTGGCCACTGGAGAAGCGGCGAAAACAGGTATAGGGGGTACTAAGCGGCCCTAAGGGGGTACTATCAGGGCTGCTATAAGCCGTGGTCATGAACCTGCTTTCCGAAGGGCGATGTCAGCAT